ATTTTGATCTGTCAATCTTTGATGAATTGTCAAACCCCTTCGTGTTAAGTCCTTATCACTTGACACTAAGAACCCCTACTGAGTGATTTATACAAGTTAACACTCACACTGTGATTTGTACTCACACTCTCACTGTCCATTTGGTCAAACCTTCCTACAGTTAGGACCACAACCAAAATCCCCTCTCGATTCCTTCAACGAACGAGAGGTCCATTTTCAGATTGAGCGCTGAGTGATTTGTACAAGTCAACACTCACACTGTGATTTGTACTCCCACTCCTACTGTCCATTTGGTCAAACCTTCCTACAGTTAGGACCACAACCAAAATCCCCTCTCGATTCCTTCAACGAACGAGAGGTCCATTTTCAGATTGAGCGATCAAAACATCCTACAGTCAGGATCGTCTCAAACCTCCCACTTGGTCAAACCTTCCTACAGTTAGGACCAAAACCAAAATCCCCTCTCGATTCCTTCAACGAACGAGAGGTCCATTTTCAGATTGAGCGATCAAAACTTCCTACAGTCAGGATCGTCTCAAACCTCCCACTTGGTCAAACCTTCCTACAGTTAGGACCAAAACCAAAATCCCCCTCTCGATTCCTCCAATGAACGAGAGGTCCACTTTCAAATCGAGTGATCAAACCTTCTTACAGTTAGGGTCACCTCAAACTCCCGCTTGGTCAAACCTTCCTACAGTAAGGACCAAACCCTCAATTCACTCTCGATAAACGAGAAATTCACCTTTAGTTCGGTAATCAAACCTTCCGACAGTTAGGATTATCCGAATTTTTTGATTCTCGGAGTGGAGATCCCACTCCTAGTTTCACCTTTTCAGATTCTGGGGGTTGAGATCCCACCTCGAGTCTCCTTTCCAACTGGAGATAGAATATAAAATTCTTCCTCTTCAGCTTTGGGAGATAGGATATAAAATTCTTCCTCTCCCGCATCGGGTTCGTCTTTGCCCCGGGAGAAGACCCTAATTTTTCAAACTCCTAAAATCCGTGCTTCACAAGCACGGGGAATTTTATCCCGAATCCTGAGCAGGGATAAGTCAGCGCCTAACACGCATCGCCGTTTAGTCTGTTCACGTGAGAAAGATGAAGTCTACGTATTCAATATCGTAGCACTAAAAGAGTTAACTCTTTTAGCATAACGTTACATGCGGAACAGATTTAAACAATCCGCATGCTAGCCCGACTTAAACGGTAGTCAGTAAAGGCACATCAAACCCGTTGACAGCTGAGGGTTTGCCAAAAATCCTATATATGCGAAAGTCACTGATGCACCAGCCCCATTAGTTGGTCTTGTGACTTAGACATCCAACAAATTCGGGATAAGATCCACATGTGCAGATGAATCAGCTTTAATAGTTGGTCCAGCAGCCCAATATTTGGGACCGCCACCCTCCAACACCTTAAGAGCTTAAACTGTGGAGACTCCGAAAAGTATAAGAGTATAAACTGCTTCTCAATCCTCCGACCGGTATAAGAGGTAAATGCATTTAATAAAAATTCTAACATAAGCTTGTTCATAATAAACATCTTTTTATCATGTTTGCTCCACTTGGATTTCTCCAACGTGGGCACAATATAAGCACAATTAATGATTTCTCATAAATCGATATTTTTAGATTGAACAAATATTTTGAATCTAAAACACCATTGAGCATAGGGGAAAACATTGAATTTAGGAGCAATACTAGAATCATAGCCTAAACAAGATGCATCATTCATATCCATAATTTGTAAAAAATATGCAAGCAAGATGCAAATGTAATCAAAACAAGATTAGCACAGAAAAACCGACCTGGTTTCAGCCCTGTCGCTGAAATCATGTCGGTTTTGTTAGACCCTAAAGGGGGGGGGGGGGGATTAGGGTTTTATGCTAATCTAATCCGATTAAATACCAATTAAAACTAATTAATAAGTTATCCTAGCAAGTATGAAATACAACAAGAATATAAGCTAGGATAAGCAATATGAACAATGAGATATATCCTATATGATAAAGATATATGCAAGGATATATAAACAACACAAGAGTAAATAATCTAAATAATATAGTGGATGAGATAAATGAGTAATGCACAATTGGCGATATAAGATGAATGCAAAAATAAATACGTCAAAGCACACTCAAACACAATCAAATGATCACGGAGTTCGGACCTTCCGTCCTACGTCTCCGCTCCCCACTCCCGGGGAGAAATCCACTAACACAATCCCGTTTATACAATCACTATGTAATCACACCTCACACACTAAGTGTTGGTCCTAGCCCGTGTCCTCCTCCTCAAGTGCTCGGTTACAACCTCTCCCTAGGCACGTCAACCGACGCCACTCCTCTTGGGACGATCCCCGACTCTCACCACACACTCCTCACTCGGTGTACAAGTGTATTACAAAGTGATTCTCATGACAAGCACAAATTAACAAATGATTGTTCTCAAAACAAGGTGAGAACTCAATTAAGCACAACTCTTAGTCACGAACCCACAACCCCAAATTATACTATGTATGAAAATACAAACAACCCTAAATTATACTATGAATGTAAATACAATAAGCTCAATAGGTTGTGTGTGAACAAAGAGTATCAATAAAACGATTAAACTCAATATAGAAATCTAGCTTATGGAAATTTAGATCAAAACAATAAATAGCTAGAATTGAGTTTAAGGAAAACTTCTCTATAGATCAAGAGTGGAGGGAGAAGAGTTGGATGCCCAAACACCAATAGATGATCTCCTCAAGCTTCTTGTTGAATTGAATCACAAAAACCGAAACACTCAAATGCTTAAAAGCTTCTTAAAACAAACTTAAACAAACACTAAACAAGTTTAAACCCTTGTTAAAACCTTTTGTTGGAGTGCAACGGATCTATTGTCGGTCGACCGAAAATTCCGTCGGTCGACCGATGAGAGCAAAAACACGAAGAAAACTTTCTGGACTAACGTCGGTTGACCGGAAATTCTGTCGGTCGACCGATTTGAGCTCTCGGTCGACCGGACCGGTCGACCGATGACTCTCTGGAAAAATACTGACGAATGGTCAATTGACCGGTCGACCGTACCGGTCGACCGAAAACAGACATTTCAGAAAACAAAGCTGATTTTAAAACACTGTTTAAAAATATCAAATAAATTCCAAAAAATGTAAAACTTTGGGGAATGATTGTAGACATGATAATAAACATGCTACAATGACTGGTTATCAAAAAGGACTTCCCAAATGAAAAATATCATCATTTTACAAACTAGTCCAAAACATGAAAATATGAGATACTTGAATTTTGATGTTTTGACATAAACCAACTTTTGAAACTTTGTGAAATGTTTTTGTAGACTTAGTAAAACATGTATAAACTGATATTGAAGTCTATAAACTAAGAATACAATATTTTCACAAAATTGCATATTCTATGCAATGTTTTCAAAAACATAATAGAAAATATGAAATATAGAATTTCATATATATAACCATAAAAACTCAAAACATATGTATGTATATATATAACTATATATATATGCATAGAAACCAAAACTTATATATATATATATATATATGACTATATATATATATACGAAGAAACCAATAAATGTGTGTGTATAGATAATTGAGCTTAGAGTATATAACACACATAATATAAATCCTAAACTAAATTACCCAAGCTAGATCTTGATCTTCAATAAGCTCTTCTAGGTAATCTCGCGGATGAAGCTTTAACTTGGATCTTGAACTTTGAATAACAAGGCTTCACCGACATTCCGCCAACCTCCTTTGGATATGATCGTTGAAGCTCTATTACATCCATCCTCCAACTACGTTGTTTGTCTATAATAAATAAGAAAACACAAATACTAGACAAACAACATTAGTAGTAAATTGTTTGTAAATCATCATCAAAACAAGAAGGCCAACACCTCCTGGTTTAGAGTGAGCGGGACTTACTTCTTTGATCCTGGGTGTGGGAATGGACTCGAGCTGACCCAAGACCCGCATAGGGGCAAGGCCGGGTCAGCCTATGGGGTTTTTTTTCCAAAATTTTTCATTTCTAATCTCTAAACTATATTAACTTTGTATTGGTATTTATTAACTTATATTTTAATTATTATTATTTTCCTATTTCACTCTTTATTTAAAATGATACATACACACACAAAGATAAATATCATATCAAAAAACATCGCAAGCACAAATATATATGCGGTTCAGACTTTGAAGAAAAACCTACGTCCACAGGAAGTTAATAATTTTTCTTTAGTTTAAATTTAAATTACAAATAAAAGATGAAATTTTTTTGTTAACCATTAATGTTCAAGGGACCAAATTCCTCCAAGTTATATTCATCAAATTCTTTAAGGAAAAGTGTTGTTTGCTCTCATTGTGACCGTTCTTCTACATTGAGCTCGGTTAATGATGGGTCGAGCCTATTTCTCTGGTCTCGGTTTTGAGGTTGGACCCAGCCCGGCCCGTGACCCGAATATATCACTAACTTGCAGGTCGGACTGGGTCATGACCCACGGCGGTCTGGGGTCAGCCCGCGGGTTGACCCCACCGATGCCCAACCATCGCTGGAAGTGCCAATTTTCATCACTCTGGCACATACAGGTACGTAGAAAATTAAGAATCTGGATGGAAATTACATAATGACTCATAAGCACCACAATCTTTTCCAACGGCATAAAAAAACTTACAGAGGCAAGTAACATTCATCCCTGCAATTTAAGGCACTGTTCCATGCAAAATATCCTACATTTTCCAATTTCACGTTACAAAGGTAAAGCCATTCGATACGCATTGCTTTAGAATTGTGGGAGCGTGAGGAGAACATTTAAATCAGACTCTTTGCTACCATAAATACTCCATTCAAATGATCAATTTTACGATAAATCACTCAATATATGATGAAAATTAATAACTTATTACTATCAGTTATAAAAAAACTGCACTAGAGAGATCCACATCACAAAATATCGCTGGAGATAAAACATGCAGGATATGGTCAAAATAATTTATTTCTTAATAGACAAAATCCCATTATCTACAAGCAGTATTATATTCCTAATTCCAGCACCACAATCTCAAAGGCTAATACTACCAAAGCTCATTATTGTTTCCAGATTACCCCCATCGAAATACTCCCCAAGTTATCCATTTCACCATTAAATGATTTCATTAAAGCAGAACAACAACAGCAAGCCAAACTTTACACAGAATCAACTCCTTCAACTTGCTGCTGGGCAAGGTACCTTTCTCTCCGTTCTTTCTACAGAAAATGAAAAATAAAATAAAACGCAGAAATACAGGTTACTACTCATGGGCATAATAGAATTAAGTAGGCCAAAACTTCAGGAAATTTATTTACCCATTCATCGATGACGAGACCTTCACCAACAATTTGGGGACCAGTGTCCTCAGCAGGCTTCTTACGTGATTCAAGCGCTGCTTCAGCTTCAGCAAGTTGGCGCTTCAATTTCTCCAATTGCTTCAGATATAAATTTTATAAATTAATAATTTTCACAAGAGAAATAAAGTTTTGCATTGCAAAAGAATAAATGTCAGCTTACAGGAGATGGGCGTTGAATATCCAAGAATACAACCCTAAGAATTTGCTCAACTGAAATCTGATCCTTTTGCTCGTCAAACTGCGAAAGAAATGTATCAGCTTAAAATGAAAAGAAGAAGAATAATTACCGCATACGACAAATAACAGTAAAGATACTCTCGAAAAGGATATACTGATTTCACATGGGAAAAACCCAGTGCAGCATGCTATCAATTTTGTTTATTTGTAATTTGAGGAACATAAGAGTATAAGAGAGAGAGAAAAAAAGAGGGGGGGGGGGGGGGG